GTTTCCGTAATAGGATACGTTGTGGATTGATGTGTTTCTTAGCATCTGTCTGCGTCTCAAACTGAAGGCGTATAAGGCAGTGGTGGTTGTGCTGGCTCATTTTCAGTCTGTGGGGCTTTGTTTGAGAGTGAGGCATTTTCGACGTTCCAAGTAGGATACCTTGAACTATTTAACCCCTCATTATCCGGTATGCTGTAGGGTATCGCACTTATTTTTTATTTGGTTTTTTGGTGACATCTGTTATTATGAAGTTTATAAAGTTGTCCACCTTAGTTATCGATTCTCTGTCAAGTTCGCCAGGGTTTATGGTTCTAGTCAGGATGCTCAGAGGAATAAGTTCACAGACCTTAGATTACGTCCCGCTTGTCTGTGCTGATAGTTCAGATACTCTGGCCATATCCTGCATTCACAGCCTTACTACACCTTATATCCCGTATCTCAGTCTTCAGCTGTTCTACAGGCAACATTAGTCGTTCTACTTCTGGAGTAAGTGTTGGAGCTGGAATTGGTATCTAAAGTTTTGCGACACGTACATAAGTTGTAGTGAAGAGGTCTACGTCAGTATCAGATGCTGAGCTTGTAGAAGCGATGCTACAACTAGTTGTTGACATATTTTTGCTGTCAATTCCAGCCTCAGTAGATGGTATTGACGGCGGCAGTTCAGCGCTTGCGGCATACGTCTCACTTCTATATTGTGTGGGAGTTGTTTTGCTCGTTGTTGCGAACATATATGTGCTATCAGTCATCGGGTTAACAACTGACTGAGTTTGTGGCTTTTTATATGATTAATTAGTGAAAGAGTTATTGGTTACGATTATGGAACTGGAGAGAAACTTGTGCGAATCTCAAAAGAAAAATAGATATATATAACGAATCACGCTAAAATGTGTCGCAGATTTGAACGTGTCGCGATGAGTCATTTATCTGTTCTGACCATCCGGACAACAACCACCACCACATTGGAGAAGTAGCTACCTCAACGTCACTTATAGCATCGAAAGTAAGAACCAACCACATCCAGGATCTTAACACCAAGAATCAACACAAATGGAGGGAATGTCACGATTGTTCCATGCCACGAACAATGTGATCCAGGTGAAGAAGGAAAAATACTTCTGCAGACAACTAAAACCAATGATCAGCAAGACGCAACCCGGATGGTAACACCGAAACTATAACGGAAGATATGAATGTCGAACAGAGAGCAGACAACTCACCAATGTTCAAGTGAGGCTGGTCATGGCAAAGAATTCATTCACAGCTGTCTGCACCCTTTATTAATCAGTGATTTAGGGCAGCAGACAGACATGCGAATTCACGAAATGGAGGTCCTAGAGGCGTGAACGCGACTTTGAGGCAAAAATCAGAATAACCTATGTCTTTGACACAAGAATGCAGTTTGTTTTCCCCGAAAAATAGAAATACAACTAGAACGTCCTAAAATTATTTACTGGAAAGACTCGGATAGGGTAAGTAGAACATTCTGATCCCAAGATTTGTCTAAACCCTGACACCAACCCTAACGGCAATCGTAACTCTGATTCTAACAGTAACGCTGCGCGACGCTGCCTGTGCTATAGCGAAGCTGACTGCACCAAAATGCTAAGACTAGTGACAATTTTCAGAATGGTCAACGGAGTGAGCTGAGCCCTCGATGGAGGAACTCTGGGATATTGTAGAAGGTGTTGATCACACAGCAATCTCAGATACCGTCCCCCTAGTCGTACTACAAATCAGGAGGCGATCCTCTTGGTAGAAGAGAGAAAAGTAATGGACTGGTTTGCATAGCGACCCTCCAGGAGTCAAACTGACAATGAGGCATTTTTGAGACTCAGAGATCGATGCAGCGCTGGATTGTGGAGTGACAGGAGGTCATTTCAGGCAAATCTAACATGAAGACTCTTGGGGAACCCACAAAGCTTATAACGATTCATGTCGGAAATAGAACCTACCAGCCAGGGGCATGTGCCTTAAAGCGCCTTAATGGTCACTATCTCACTAGTCTGAAAATGGCTGAAATATTCAGCCTAATATTTAATACACAGCTGAATAACTGTGGGTATTGCTGCTATAGGCAATAACGGTCGCACTGCTAAATTACCAGGACAGGTGTCAAATTGATCTAGCAATCACACTGGCGAAGGTACAAACACTCATCGCCGAAAATTCACCAGGTTGTGGAAATATTCAGATATCTGTTCTGAGACGGCGAGCCGAAGTTCTCTGCAGGTCCTTACGTGATCTGTTCCAACGCCTCACTGATCCAGAGAAACTGACAAAGGAGTGGAAGGAGACCATCCTTTCCCCCAAAATTCAAGAGTGGAAATCAGTGAAACGCAACGACTTAAAGACCAGTAACCCTATGCTCAGTGGTATCGAAGATTATGGAAAGTTTGAATGATGATCATATCAGGCAACACCTCTGCAGGACCACAGTATTCCATGAAACACAACATGGATTCAGAAGAAGTAGATCCCGTGCGATGGATACATAGTCAACTCCGGATGATAGTACATCATACTGGTGTAGTGTGAATCGTCAAACAATGAACTGAAGCGGAGATCAAGCGCACGTTAGCAGACAAGTGTAGCGTGCTAGTAAGAAAGAGGACTCAAGGGAAAAATTAAATTCGCAGCCAATCCAAATAAACAGTTCGGTAAGACGTGGAGAGTCTTCCAATTGGTTGCCCACCCTGTCGTCTTGTGAAACCAATTCATGCGCGCCATGCAGCCTACCTGAAATATGAAAAAGCGTGTAATCTTTACATAAGAAACCTACCTCTCCTCAAACTGGGACGTGAATGTCCCAATTCATTTGGTTCTCCCTGACCTTGCGGAGACATCTGACATAGTTCAGGATGACTTTCCTGGGTAAGCAGGCAGGCTTGTATTGGTGGCATGCCTCTCTTTTATTTGGAGGACTGCCTGAACGGAAGAGGATTCCGTACCAAGGTCATTGGTGTTGGATCATCCAAGCACAGTTCGGCATTGTGAAGTTGTCAGCTCTCCATCCTAGGTCCCCTAATATTTTCGATTCTTATTGATGACCTGACGTGCCACCTCCACGCTGACAAAGTAAAGATTTGGAGAGCGACAAAGTGCCGGAGAGGCTCAGATGTGCTGCAGACAGACCCAAAGATTCTGGGATACTAGGCAGTACTCAATGATATGACTTTCAACATTGAAAAAGCTAGGTAGTGCGACAACACACCAGAAGACCACAGAGTGTACATTGCTCCCTGTGTAATTTCAGAGTAAGAGTTACTTCTGGTTATAGCAGAACGATAATACGAGAGTGAATTATACCCGCGCGACTGTGCACTTCATGCGTAGACGGTTGGGTGTTTCCACTCTTGATCTCTATCCAAGGTTCCCGCGGAAAGGTTTAATCGGAGGCTAGATAATCATCCAGCTATACAAAGACTGCATCCAAACGATGTACTTCGTTAAAGCTCACTGTACAGTATATATATCTTATTTCGCCCCATACAATTGCCCATTCTCCCTTGTCTCATTCGTCTAATTAATCTACTCATTCACCCACTTATTCCATTATTATTTCAATTTACTCATACATTTATTTTAGTTATCAGTCTTCACGGTCAGTTTGTACGTTTTCCTTTTGAAGTCTACATAATCTTCACTAGTTATATCCGTTATTAATGATAACAAAACACGTAGATCAGCAAAGAGTCTCTTTTCGGCGAATTCATCTTCTTAGCTGTACAATCGCAAATATATATGCATTGTTTTGTATGTATGTGTACATTAAGTTTGTCAAACAAAGTTACAATTGGTTAAGGTTAATTTTAACTAAACAAGTGAAGGTTGGTAATACAGGTCAAGAAAATTAAGTGTTAGTGAGACTAGGGTAGTAACAAATTTCTACTTTGTTTCTATGTGCATCCTGAGTAAAACTCACTATTATTATTACAACTGTTTGTGACAACTCATCACCTTTGTTACTACCCTAGTCTCACTAACACTTAATTTTCTTGACCTGTATTACCAACCTTCACTTGTTTAGTTAAAATTAACCTTAACCAATTGTAACTTTGTTTGACAAACTTAATGTACACATACATACAAAACAATGCATATATATTTGCGATTGTACAGCTAAGAAGATGAATTCGCCGAAAAGAGACTCTTTGCTGATCTACGTGTTTTGTTTTCATTAATGCCTGGATGGGGATTATCCATGAATATCCGTTATTATTAATAGTTGTTATCATTTCCATTTTCCACTGCAACGGACGACCAGTGGACAAACGAGTCAATACCATTCGCACAAGCGCCAAGGTCTTAACAAACTGCATATAGGCAATCCTCCAACCACTCCTCTTGAAGTCAACCAAAGATGCACCGTCAAGTAGCAGAACACACTGGGCATAAATTTACCGGGGATGAGGAACATTTATCTTACAGTGACGAAGTGAGGACAAAGAAATACATTTTGCTTACACTAGCTCGGAAAAACTATATCGGATAAGTTGTATCGACTCCACTCCCGTGAATGGCTGCAGAAAGAAGCTAGATTCTCACATACATACTTGCCACAAGAATTAATGCAGGTAACTTCCAGACTAAAAACCTTTCAGACAGAAAACAAAGTAGAGACTAACAATGAGAGTAGACTTCAGACCGCTATTGAACCTTCCGATCTGCAAATGGTGATCGAATCTTCCTTTCAGCAAAGCAACAGATGTTGAAGCGAGGTATTTCAAGGAAAAAATTCATTGTTTTAGACTTCTATGATAGAGACAAACGTTCAGAATTAGGTGATTCAACAGTGGATTGTGAACTTTAGGAAGGTATCTTCACAACTGGTCGGTTTGTAGGGTGAATGTTGTTCTACATTGTTGTAACTTCTATATTTAAATAATCCATTTTTTCACTTTTCTTTTTCAATTTCATCCTGTAAACAGTTTAACATTCGTCATTTTGCACAAATGAAGGTAATGCGCTACTTTGATTTGTTTTCAATCATGTTTATCAAGAGCGGGGATTTGTACTTCGTCCAACTGTGTGGATTTTTTTACGGTTAACGCTTGCACGTGGGATTGGTTCCAGGTTGGTTTGACTCGTATTTATTTTGTTGTTTATATATCAGAAAATTTAATATTAGGTGCTTGATAATATTCATATTTGTTGTTACTTTTTCTTAAGAAAGGGAGAAGTGTTCCTGAAGAAACTAATAGTCACTACCCAGATAAGTATTTCCTTCAGTTTAGGCATTCACTAGTAACTATTCCCCAGAGTCCTGTTGTGCCTGTTAGTTCTGTGCCAGAAAATATATTCATCTAGGAACTGTGTAACATACAAGCACGGTTCACCGTATAGACAGTGTAGCAGAGTCAAGTCACGAAAACCATAACATTTTGTTCCGTTAATTTACGCTTGACACCTGGTATATTTGAAAGCAACTAACATCCAAGAGCTTCGTGAAGTATCCTTAATTTTTAACCCATGGTCAAGACTTAGACTTCACACAGTTAGACTGGTATTACTTACAAATGACTGCCAGTTTTAAATATTCATATACATGGACCGGAAAGTGAGTGAGGAGCATTTGTTATTCATGATAAAAAGTTGTGCTTAACCGTCCATTGGTTAGTGTGACACATGGGGTTAAGGAAGTCCAATGTATGTAAAAGTGGCCGTGCAAGAAGACTCCATTATAGAGTTGTTCCATTTCGCCATTATTAGTATAACTGGTTAGTGTTTGTGACATGTTCGTTAAAGGAAACATGTTGGGTAAAATTTCTATCCTGATGCAGTACTGATCAAGTAATAATAGTTAGTCCTTAAATCCCGTAAATTTGCAGCATTTCACAATCAGAACTACATGTTACTCTCACCAATTAGTAAGGTATATTTAGTTATAGGCTCTAGTTTATCTTGGTTAGTCCACGAGTAACATTTATTTGTTGCATTTCTACTGAAATTTATCCTTCCTCTTATCCATCGTCTCGTGATTCCTCACATGTGCTGGTTTATTGGTGAATAGTCTTATTGAAGGTGTGAACAAAAATGTGGTCTTATACTTCGTTACTGATGTATGGCCATTATGATTTCTCAAATACTACTGAATACCCCAGATTAAGTTCCTGTGCAGTGAAAAAACGGTAACAAATATGACGGAAATGATAAAGTAAACTGGCAGTAGATGAAACATTTCCTCTTACTGTCAGTAAACTTTTTCAACCGAAATATTAAGCTTCCATTCATTTCCCAAACGAGAATTGTCTAAACTACATCACCCTTTTTTGACGGGGCCTAAATATGACATTATTGGGAGGCTACTGATATTTAACTGGGTCAGAAGTTTTCACAACGACCACTAAGTGGTGGGCGACAAAATCGGAAGGGCGAAGTTAAACTATAGGGTCTCAGGGGTTCCAACGCTTCAGTGGTCTTGAACGCATGCTAGTCATTGGCTAACGACACCTGTCATTATTGTAGAGCAAATATGAACGCTATTCACCAACTAAGAAGCAAGCTTCACCCAGATCACGTTTTAAAGTTCTGTTTGGATAACGTGTCAGTGGCTCGTTACGGCTAGGGTTAGGGTCAAGGTTAGGGTTACGATTAAGGTTAGGTTTATAATTGGTTTTATTTATTTTATTATCCACATTTTCCTAGTAGTAGTCGTCGAACCTCTTACTACAAACCATAATAATTCAACCGTCTTCTGGGGAAGACTGCAAAACAGGATAAGAGCGATAAGCAGTTCACCTTGGTGAATACATGTACAGAAACTGGTCTAACTTAAAAACTGGTACTTATCATAACCGGGAGCTATTTTTAAGTCTTGTCAAAGATACCCTGTGTAATGTGTTCTCACGCTTTTTAGTAAATAAACGTCATATTTTGTGCAGAAATTACCTGTTGGTTGGTCGGTTCAAGATCACTCTTGCGTTCTCATCCCCTGGGACTCCATAGTCTAACTTTGCCATCGAAAGTGGAAAGAGCATGAACAGTAAATAACGCATGTCAACACCATGGACATTAACAGACTGATTGCTGGCAAAATCTTAGCACTTGTACTGTGCTGCAAATGACCACATCCTTCCCCATAGCTATAACGTGTCCACTGAAAGTGGAATACATGAAGGATTATTCGTTTTCAGTGATAAGTTTCTGCTCTAGGTTTCCCCTGTTAGGTTGTATTCTATGGCCAGTAGTGAGTTTAGTTGTGTTGTTACTCTAAGGGGAAGTCAACTAATGGGATTGTTTTGACCTTTCGCTTAAGGTGGTTGGAATATTTTATGTTCTTCAACCTACCACATTCCTAGGTTAGAAAACATGGCACCAATCCGCAGGAACTTTGACTTAGTTTGAGGTGTAGACTGGCTAGGGTCCTAGGTATTCAAAAAATCAGTATTTGAAGACTTGGTGACACAACTCAAAGTCATTCTCAATGGCCCAAATAAGTTCCTTGTGGTGTCCTGGGGTTCATTAAGTCCTGACCGTTCTTCTTGTAATTAATAGTCCTCCCGCGCATTCCCCATTTTTGTAGTTCATTCTCAATCTTTATCTACCTACGTACTTTTGCGGAGCGTAGCCGTTTACAATGTCGTACTTTTGTGCAAATTTGTGTTGATAGTTCAATTCACTCCATCTTGATACTTCACTTACTTTTGTAATCATGCCAGCTCTAGTGAGAAAGTGATCTGTGAAATGTTAAACCAGGTCTTTGTCATTCTGTGTCACCCGTAAAACCAGTGAGATATCGGACTGTTTATCAAACTCCAAAGTACTCAGCAACTGTTTTCAATATACAACTTTGAGATGTAGCCGCGAGGCAGAATTTTAAATTTTAAAGCATCTGCTTTTTAAATTCATCGTGGGACCACCACCATATGGAACGTGGTTATTTGAAACTAAGACGACACCATGTTAGTGTCAATGGGATGCACCACATAAAATGCAACAATGAAACGAGGGGAACTGAAACGTAACAGATAGTCAACAAGAAGACTTAGGAAGTATAAGGAAAAAGGGAAGTGTATATTATTTGCCACTCGCTTCCATTCTGATACATATCTGATAGCGCCTTTAACCGCCGAACTCCACGCCATCGAGGGAGTTGTGATTCGTCGAACTAAGGTAACGCAATTATCTGTTGTCCATTAACGTCACGTCATTGGGTCACCACCTCTTCTCCGCGTTCAATAAATGACACGACTAATGAAGTCTGTAGGATGGCATTCGTGATGTGTTTGAACCAAGGTCTCTCCCTAGCTGAAACATGTCTGTCCCAAGGAACTACTTTTGCCTCTGGTCCAGAAGAAAACAACCGCGTTTCCTTGGCTGCAAGTTATGAAAGCATTCAAGTGCTATTCGCTTCTTTTGCGTCCTGAAACTCATGTGACTTCATTGGGAATCAAGGTTTCATAACTCCTCTAGGTGAACCCTGTTTGTCTAGCAGTCCGATGATTGAAACCAGACACATGCGTTCGGGATTTTTGAAAGAGCCACTCCTGTCATGTGAAGTCAGTGTATAGTACCTGCCTGGAAGAGATTATAGACGCGTGGTCACACGTAAGAACTACGAAATAAGTGGGGCCTACTGTGCTATGTCATTTGTTGGTGAGAAACATTTAATGTAGTTGTTAGCCTGTCAACCATCGCGTGGGTTGTGTTGTGTCACCTCCTCTATTGCATAGTGTCAACCAAATTAGAGAAAATTCATGAGTAATCAGACTCAAACGATTCACTTTACCGTATGAAGGAGGATTACTGGATTAGTTCCGCAAGATATTTGAAACAAAAAACAAGAGACTAAGTTATACGCAACTGATGGGACCCATCCACGTATAATCTTCATTTCAGTTGTATTACTAAATTACCTCATTTGCCTTTTTTCATTTAACGCCATATATCCTTCTGGAACTCTAAGTTATGTTTCTCATCTCTTTCTCGCTACCTGTCATGGTATGTTAGTGTAAGAGGTGGCCATTTGGTGAGTCAAACACAAGTGTAATGTCTTGGGGTGGAGGTTAAAGCATCTTTAACACAATGTAGCTAAATATACATAATTCGAAAGTTTGCAAGAATGCCACTCATATAGACTTTCAATTACAGGATGTAACTTATCTTGTGGTACATACTTTAAACGTTATCTCTCTTAGTTTTTATAGCATGTTAATCAATTTATCTTTTTTTGGTTTCATGCATATAGTTACACGAAAATGACGCTCCGCGCTGGTGCGTCCAATGTGTCTTTCCGAGCTTGGCGGCGCTACTTCACCCTATCATCTGTTGACTCAGTTATCGAACTAATGCGAGAAGTATTTGCTAGTTGTGGGGTAGTGTTTTCTGATGAACAAATGAGTATGAAATGTTTGAAAAGCAATACTATCAACTCTCTTGTAACAGCTGATGTTGGCGTTGATTCCTCTTCCTCTGCTAAAGAACCCAACTTGGCGTTTGTATCTATAGTATTAGGTTACATTGAAAATCATCTCACTTGTAGTTTACCAGAAGAATTCGATTCATTAAAATTAAAAAACGGCCTTCATCACAAAGTTCTACAACGGAGAAAAGAATTGTCATCTCAAAATTATTCTCGTTCACGTTCATCTTCTTTTACAAAATCACAATCACCCCTTTCCGTTCATCTCGAAACGTCAGAGGAACACTTGGATAGTCCTAGTGATAATCGAGAGCTGGATAGTAAATCAAGTTCTTTATCCAGATCATTATCATCAAGTTCATTCGCACAAGAAATTACTCAGAATACTAGTCACACAAACGAATCTCCTGTCTGTCGTCGTCGTCGTACTAGACAACTTGGTTCATCTCGCCGTGTTCGTCAACGAAATGAATCAGGTGTATCTGATTCTACAGGAAGCACAATAGAATCGCTACATACTAATACTCCTAAAGATGAACCATTACAAATAATAACAGACATGCCTGTTCGAAAGCGACGTCGATTCTCAGATAGTACTTTACCAAATTCATCATTTCCCTGTTTAACATTCGATGAACTCGAACGTTTGTATCTGAATTTCTACAATCTTATTACAACTTCTCCCAAAGTAAGTTATGATTAAGTAAAACCCTTCATTGTCTTGTTTGTCTTCGTTAACATCTGAAAAATTATGTGATAAAGGTATCAAACAGTCGTTTACCAGTTTTTTATGAACTGATATATGTATATGTAAATATACAATCACAGTATTATTTATAAACTTCGTGTAACTGACTCGGTGTAATTTGTACTAAATTTAGTAACCTAACCTATATAAATATTCAACATATAAATAGTTACAAATGTCTGAAAAGAATTTGAGCATGGAATTTGATTGAACCAGTAACAATAATCGCATCGTGTTTCAAATACCAAAGTATTTTTTCGTGTTAAGAGTTTCTCGTGTAAGCCATAGTGCCTACAATAAAAATGAATAGATTTCTACAAAGACTGAAAACCTAAAGTCATATAGTACACCAAAGTTAACTCTTCTGCAGATTAGAAAACTCTTATTTTGACTTCAAAAAAACATAAAACATTCTGAAATCATAAATTTAAGAATATTCAGTAAATTTTATGCGGTTGCTTCAAATACCTTCTTATTTGCCAGTCTTAGTAATCATAATTTAAATTCCACTTTAATCTTGTCCGTTTTAGTCCATTATTAATCAGTAATAGATTATTTGCAATATACAGGTATCAGTGTGCATCGGTGGCACAGCGGTAGAATGCTTGCCAACCACGCATGTGGTCCGGGGTTCGATCCCCGAGCAACGCAGTCCTTTACCTCGCCAAGCCAGTAATAAGACTGGTAAAGAGGAAAGGTTAGGCACGAGGCTAGCAACCTCATCCAGTAAAAATAAAACCACTACTACCGAAACTTCAAGCTCCTAGCTTGAAGCCCTGTGTTCCACTGGGAACTTAAAGTAACTATGTATATGTATATATATTCATTATATTCTACTATTTCGTCTATATTTATCTAGCGTGATGTGATAGCTTCAGTTAGATGGTGATGCAACTGATTGACTCAAACAACTTTGTTTCCGTGATTCAAACCTCCACCGTATCACTTCACCCTACCTACCTTAGACTAGATAAGTGTTCACATCTCTAAAAAGGTTCATAGCTGCCTGTGATGGTCTAAGGCATTATTCCAAGGCTATTCAAATAAATTTAAAGGAATATATCTAAATTTCAGTAGATTCAATCATTTTTATGAGTGACTTCACAGCATGGCCTTGTAGTAGTGGTGTCTGGGATCATAATGTGTGAAAAAAAGCTACGTGCCGAAAAAATTTCAAAATAAACTTATAAAAAATTACTTTGATGTGAATATTACTGAAAATTCAAAGTTCACCTAAAATGTCTTTCATTCTGTCTATTTTGAACATTGGTACTAATATGCTGTACCCATTTGTCCTCAACTTCATCGAATTCGAAAAGGACCTCACCAGACAGTGTTGACCGACAAGTAATTTCGAACTACGACATGCAGTGCCCCAGTTTGCATCAACTTCATTCAACAGCTGGTTATGTGATAATGACACGTGTCAGGAGGGCCACAACGGGAAACTCAGCGAGGCGTTCAGAGTGAATACAAGAAGGAGTAAGACAAGCTGGCTGTCTGCCTATTATCACTCACTATGATATTATCAATTGTCGTGGACTGGATTATGCATCAGACTGTGAGTGGGAAGCGAGGAGGCAGGAATACGCTGGACCAACGATAAGAAGACTCTAGAAGATCTGGATTTCGCGCGTGGATGATTTATGTTTAATGTAGGAGGAAATGGAGATGGATCACGCATACATATTGAGGAGACCATCGAATGACATCGCACCCAATGGAGGCCATCGCTCGAGTGGAATCCCAATGGGAAGCGATCAGTAGATCGTCGGTGCGAGAGTGACGTGGAAGAGATCGTGCGAAGAGGAGGTGAGAGATTATGGGCAATTGTGGACGTAGCTGAAGAGGACGGCAGAAAATAGAAGAGAGTGGAGATGTATTGTTGAAACCGTATGTTCCACTCGGAAATAATAATAATAACCGTCTGTCCTGAATGTTCGATGAGTGCTTAACTAGTTCCGGTATTGTTTCATCTTTTCGCCTGTTCATCTGTGTGTTTGCGTTTATTTCATAGCGTACGCAGGCAGTGATAACACGTATAAAACGGTTTTAGTATTTCGCTAAGTTTCACATTTCTCTTATCATTACTCTACATGAGTTCTTTTCTTTTTATCGCTCGACATTAAAATGGTTAATTTCAAATAAAGTTGTATAATATTCGTCTTCTGAAAATTCACCTTTGATCTACTTATTTATTTACTTACAGTTGAAACCTTTCATTGAAACATCGTGTGTCATTAATGGCACTGAGTTGAAAACACCAAAATCTCAGTCAACTTCAACAACAACAATAAAGAAATATGCATCACGTTCCCTAATTTGTGCTATATGCGAAGTCCTGTGGAGTCAAATGGCGGTGAGTCGTGTCAAAGAGCGATTAACTCATACACAAAGTGTATATTCTTTTCTAACAAGTAAGCAAATATCAGTTTTCTTCTTCTACTGCCTTTCGTAAGGAAAATTAGTGTAACAAATAAGGCCGGTTATTGTGTTGTCACCATAAGAATGTGGGGAAACTTTGATTTCTTAATAGAAATTCCATGTGTTGTTAGTTTTATACACTTTGAATGGGCGATATATGTTTAGCGTGTTTATATACAGCCGTAGAACTACTAATTGGAGCTAACTGGCCTGCTTCGACTGGATATACACAGGACCCTATTATATGTTCAAATCAGTCTTTAAATTATTGAAATATATTTTGGGTGCGATAAACAAGTTAAGCAATACGTGAAGCTTTAATGACTGAAATAGTTTATGTATATACACGTTTGTGTGTTGCATATTCCAAGTGAGAACAGCAATAATACCTGAGTACCTTCAAGTTGACAGGAAGTGTGTCAGGACCAAAATATGACGTCTACAGTTGTTCTTTTTATGATCCTTATAAGTAAATGCAAATTAATTTTTTGTCTAACAATAGTAATGATAATAGCTTTATTCCAAACAATAATTTTGGTACAAATATGAAATTTGCAGGATGCACTCCGGTACTGCATTTAGTTTCCTCATTACAGGGGTAATAATTAGACCACGGCATATACATCGATAATATTATTCAGTAACTATATGAATATTAAATTTAATTGAAAATATTAGCAAGAATGTAATCATGAAAGAAAGAACAAAGAGGGCTGTTTACTTAGTGTTTCTCAGTAAGTCAGTAGTGTCGTGTCCTACACTTTTCTCACCACATAAAATGTGTGCCTGCCAAATAAGTTATTGTGGAGTTTTGATACTTAGTCGTCCCGGCATATGGCCTTCTACAGTTGCTTCTAGTTCTACCTGATAAGTTGCAAAGAGCGAGGATGCTCAGGGTCTGACTAGATTGTACTTATTGATTTCTCGCTTGGGTCCACTGTCTACAACTGTGTTAACAAGTTGATTTAGTAACACTCCACTTGCCCTACTGAAAGCTTCAGTTCAGGGAAGACTAAAGGTGAGCAATAAAGAAGAACAGGTAGACTGTAAAAGTAGAGACTGAGTGATACTAGATTGTCTTAACCTCCTAACGGAGAGCATTAAACCAAATATTATCCTAGAAACTAACATGATTTCGGAATACCAGGAAACATCAGAGGAAATACACAGTCCAAGGTATTGAACACGACTTAGTTTCAACTTCAGTATCATCTATGAAAGTAGAATCATGCAAACAAACCAGTTCATGTAATTAGAATGTTAAAAATCCAGTGATCTAAGACTTGTGTTGATATAGGTATTATGTTTTGTTTACCATTCTTGCTACAATATTATTATTTATTGTCATCAGTTTACTGGATAGGTCGTCAAATACATAACAATTGTTCACAAATTTGTTTTACCAGGTCATATATTTTTAGTGTACGCATTCACTAGATAAATGGTTCATTGTCTTGAGGTTTTCAATTTCAATGGGTCACAGGTTCGACTCTCACTCTACTTACTTCGGTCCTTACACAATATGTGTGTGGCACACAGCATTATTCCCTTGCGTCCCGAGTGGAACATACGGCTTCAACAACACATCTCCACTCTCTTCTATTTTCTGCCGTCCTCTTCAGCTACGTCCACAATTGCCCATAATCTCTCACCTCCTCTTCGCACGATCTCTTCCATGTCACTCTCGCACCGACGATCTACTGGTCGCTTCCCATTGGGATTCCACTCGAGCGATGGCCTCCATTGGGTGCGATGTCATTCGATGGTCTCCTCAATATGTATGCGTGATCCATCTCCATCCTCTCCTACATATCTGCTGAGCGATCGGCTCATGGTTGGTTTGTTGCCAGCCAGAGTTTCTTGTCACTAATTCCTTCTGCTCGATTGGCCATTTGATCTTCAGGATAGAGCCAGTGAAGTCAGCTGTTGGAAAAAGTCTGAAACTTGTTGGAAATCCTGTCACGACACGCAGTGCAAGTTTCTGACCCGTATAGAAGGACTGAGTGACTGTTGAACATTTGTGTTGAAAATCCGAATCTTGTCCATTATGCAGCTGAGTGAGGCAGAATATTTCCAAACTGGTTTCAGGTTTATGAATGCGTGTGTGTACCTTGCCTTTCTGATTCTGACTGGCTGACTTTGTTGTCTTCATCCGTTCGGCTTGACTGTGGTTGAAACGATTCTGGTTGCCTAGATAAGTGAAGGAGGTAACCTCTGTTGAATCTCTCCCGTTGATGGTGATTGGTGCTGGTTGTTGTCGCTGTTGTTGCGGTTCGTTGGTTATCCTCATCACCTCCATCTCCACCTTCTCTATGTTCACCTGTTCACCAGTCTTGTCTTCGCTGACTGACTGCCTCTTCTGCCAGTTTACTGGTTTCCGCCTGTAAATCTTCGAGTTTGTGTGACATTAGACATAAGTCATCCACGCGCGAAATCCAGATCTTCTAGAGTCTTCTTATCGTTGGTCCAGCGTATTCCTGCCTCCTCGCTTCCCACTCACAGTCTGATGCATAATCCAGTCCACGACAATTGATAATATCATCGTGAGTCTTAATAGGCAGATAGCCAGCTTGTCTTACTCCTTCTTGTATTCACTCTGAACGCCTCGCTGAGTTTCCCGTTGTGGCCCTCCTGACACGTGTCATTGTCACATAACCAGCTGTTGAATGAAGTTGATGCAAACTGGGGCACTGCATGTCGTAGTTCGAAATTACTTGTCGGTCAACACTGTCTGGTGAGGTCCTTTTGGAAATCGATGAACTTAGGGTACAGGTTTGACTGACATTTTATTCTCTGTTCTGTGTTCACAATTCGTGGGTCTGCAATTCGACCAGCAAATGATTCGCCTTTCCTGAATCCCTGCTTTTTGCGGGCTGGTGGAGTTCCGCATCCAGTGCATTCTTTATTCTCTGCTGGATGACGTGACCTGGTAGTGTAGTCGCTGTCCATAAGATCATGATTCCAGGACAGTTCCTGCAGAGCGAAGGCGTAAGTTACCCTTTTTTTACTAACCTGACAAGTTAACCTTTCTTCCAATCGTTAGACACCTTTCCTTCTATCGAAACCTTTTGCAGCAGATTTTTCATGAAAAAAAAAACTAGTCTGAGTAATTGTATCCTAACAGCAACAACCATGAAGGCGGTAATGACTGATCTATCAGAAATTGTTTATCTCTACTTATATAATAATTGTGAAAGTGTAATTCTTTCATTCTCTCTAGGTGCTGGCGTAATGTTTAAATAAGGATGCTTTATGTCGAATAGCAGATTTAATTAAATATTTTTTTTATTTTTTCATCGATTAGAGTAAAAAGAATAAAACTGTCTTCTCTTTTCTTCAGTTACAACAACACATTGGTAGTCTAGTCAGTCAGTCACGTTACTACTCAACAAATAAATGCATAAGATTAGAATCCACTTGGCAATTAACTATATATTTATTGTGTTTAACGTGATGGCTATATTTGGCTGATAGTCTGAAATGTGCTAAGAGTCATTAAATAATAATAATAATAATAATAATAATAATAATAATAATAATAATAATAATAATAATAATAATAATAATAATAATTAAATAAAGGAAATGACAAAGTAGTTTACTTTTTACTGCAGAAAAACAAAGAAACCAAGTCGAAGGTCAAGGATAGATAAAATTCCAAGGCGGGAAAAATATCCTCCCTGCCAAAAGAAAACTGAACAATGAAATGTATTTGTTTTTGTGTTATATTATATAAGACAAACAATAGAAGAGTTACTAGGTTGGTAGTAAGTAAGTAATTCTCTTATTGGACAATAGACGGCAACTAATGCCATGTATCTAGTCCTTCGTTTAATGCAGCCGGCATGCTAGGTGGCTCGCTTTTACGATACACTTTGACTTGTTGTTATTAGATGTTTGGAGGAAATTGGCAAAAGGACCCGTGGATCTAGGCTTTGTGCTTGTTGTGGCACTTGTCAGCAAAACGTATCGTCAATCTTGAAGGAATTCATATCCCTTTTAAGATTAGAACCCGTGTCACCCAGTGCCATGGTTAGAGATGTTACCACTGAGCTGTTCGGGTTCGCGATTGACCTCTTGTAAGGGTTGTATTCGATACTTCGATTAGTAACTAATGTCATGCACCCCGTCCTTGGAGTTGGTGCAGCCTGGATTCTGTCTATCAAGTTTGCAATATGGTCACCATGCTAGGTGGTTCGCCATCACTGTTTACCGATTGCCCCCAACCAACACTTTGCCTATCCAAAAGCACATAAGTCAACGAACAAATAAACCTACGGTATTTCGGACTTTGGTTTACTGTGCTCATTTGAAAAGTTATCAAAACTGTTGAACAGTGTGTCAGTATCGATCATTCTCAGTAGACTAGGATTACAATTTCTTTGTAGTTTTATTAGTGTTGATTTCTTGTTATCGGCGTATATGTTCGTCAAATAGAATAGATACTCATCTAGGTTGTGAGTGTATGCCTAATCTAGTAGAAACAAACTACTAAAATAGATCACGTTCATGGTTAATTGACCATAAACCGGTGTGATTCGAATGTTATCCCTATTGTTTTTACAGCGAATGTGGCCTCCCTGCCTGCCTGCCTGCCTGTCTCATCATTGTATAAAGTTGACATGATTATCTTCTTTATTTAGTATTGTAAAGCTTATACTCGGTTGGCATACTGTTGAGAATCTAGAGTAATTTAAAGACATAACCCTGTAAACCATGAGGATATCATCCATCTACTGTACATGTGTTGTCTACCTTGACGTTCTGTCAAACATCGTCAAGCTAATAACTTCAGGTGTTTGATAGTTTGGTAGCAGTTATATTCAGTCCCTTTTAAGACTTATTTTGTTGAGGCTTAACGCACAAATGCCTCCAAACTTCGGAATAGACAACACACTCGTGTCATGTTATCAGTAAAAATAATCATCTGAGATGAGTTTACATCATTGTTTCATTTGATTAACAAGGAATTTGACTTTTAATTTTGAAGTTAATTGATTTTTTTATTTCAATAATCAATCCGTGTTTCAAAACTTCTCATTTGGAAAAAATTTTTTTCTTTCGTTTTTTTTTATAGCGGGAATCCTGGACAGTTTTGGTTTAGCGTATACAGTTGTAGCCGCTTGTCAACTTCTTGGTTATTCCGACGTAGACTTGGCATTATCCGAAGATCATGGCTGGGTTGAATTCGGTCCACCAGAGTCCCGTCAAACAGCTGATGTAGCCAGTTGGGCGCAAGAATCTCATACATCCACCAATTTACACAGTACAGAAGCCTTTTCAAGCCTACATAATGATGTATTACAACAGACGGAACACCTTAGAACCAGAAAAGCATCATCTGTAGAAGACGAATGTAATCCACCTCCTATTCGTATCCCACCACTTGAACACTCTTGGCTTTATGTAAATGGATATCCAGTGATTTGTCGTCCACGTATAATGGCAGTAGCTGCTGCGATTGCAGCAATTCAACCAGGAGCCTCAATTTCAGCTGTTACTCATGCGCCGACCTCAGAACCTTTTGCTTATGGAATGCTTTCACCAAATCCTTCAGTTTCCTCTGGTGGTGATCTTATTACACCTACGGGTCTAGTTAGGCATTTATCATCTGCATCGGTGATTTCTATGCAGGTAAGTGATAATGATTAGATCAAGTCTACTGAACACGTTAAGAGGACAGAAGACACTAGATTATGAATATCATTTCTGTCATAGGATAGCTTTTATTCATCTACGTGAGGTGTGTATGTAATTGTTTTGATAAATTAAACTATTATCCACTAGACCTACATCTTTTGCTAATAACGTCTGTCTGTCTGTCTTTCATCCATCTAAACATCCAGAACTTTAAACATTTTTCAGGATGCACTTGCCTACAGCCCCTATGGTTGGAGATTTGGCATAAAACAGTAATCGCAGTGATGCAGATAAAACTTTGACTACTACACACAGCAATACTTCCTCTTGTGTGTTTGTTAGTAATTTTCATCTCCGTCTTCAGGATACACCAAATCTTTATTTGTTTACAGTTTTAATCAAAACCCTAAAGTAAACAATAGTTTGTTTTACAAACACCTGAAACAATTACAAAATAACACTACTATAGTTTGTATCAAATCATCGTGAGGGGGGGGGCGGGACTTCTTTCGGTTAACCTCTGTCTAACTAGATAGTGTGCATTCAAATAGGTTATCACTCATCTTTCTTGATATATTTGTATGCCTTCACCTTCATGACTTTGTCCACTAGGTCCCCCTTAATAAACTTAGTACTAACTATTCCGAAATTAACAGAAAAACAAACGTGCATCCGCTTGTTCATTTCATGGAGCAACGTAAAACTCCATCCAACTTTGTATGTCGTTATAATTGAAAGCGTAAAAAATGCGGGATTACTATGATACAATTTTCAATTAATTATCACAAGAAGAAGAAAATGCCTAGAGTTTTTATCTACCCATTTGTGCTATCTCAGAGCACACCACTAAGGTAAATATGGACTTTATTGTGGCAGTATCATACTGTATTGGTTAAGTAACTCATCTTTTCCTTTCTCCTCATTTGTATATATATATATATATATATATATATATATATATATAGTTTTTATTATTTTCTCTCTGCGTTCCCGGTGGGATATGGAACTCCAAGCTTGAGCTTTGAAGTTTCAGTAGCAGTAGTGTTTTCTTACTGGGTGGGGTTGCTAGCCTCACGTCCAACCTTCCCTCGTTACCGAGCTTACTCCCGGCCAAATTAGATGAAGAAGTATGTCAGCTGGGGATCGAACTCCGGACAGCGTAAGGCGTGGTTAGCTATATATACGTATGTATACTTTCATTATTAGTTATTTAATTTAGACTATCAGTTAATGGATTGCGTCGGTGGCACAGCGGTAGAAGGCTTGCCAACCACGCATGTGGTCCGGGGCTCAATCCCCGGCCGACGCACTATTTAACCTCACTAATCCATTAGTGAGACTGGTAAAGAGGGAAGGTTGGGCATAAGGCTTGCAACCGCATCCCGTAAAAATCAACACCACTGCTACCGTAACTTCAAGTTTCTAGCTTAAAGTCCTATGTTCCTCTGGGGAACGTACAGGAATAATTAAAATAAAATAAAATATAGAAAATAATCAGTTCATGGCTAATGATGAATTCCTTTTTTTGGCCTCTCACTATTTTTAGCTGGTTACATTAAAGCATAGACTTTTATGGTTATGCTTCGATGCTGGCTGTCTGTCACGTTATCCTTTGGGATTAACTAATTTGGGTGATTTAGAAGATGCATTTCCTACTATGGGACGTCTCGCTACATTTTTAAATTCATCCACGCTAAATACACCAACAGATTTGAAGGGCACTGGGAATTCTGTAGATCAGATAAGGAATTCTGAGAATTCTCTTAATCATTCAAAAGTTTCATCAGTTGTTATGAATCCACGTTTGAAATTATCATCGGATATATCATCAAATTATCAACTGCCGGAAACTGTTTCACTAGCTTTAGCGCTATATAACTGTGCTGTTGCAGTCAATCAATATTATTACGCCAACCATCATGTTTATCCGTATACATGTTTAGCTGGATGTCTGTATAGGCATGGAGATCATCGAGGTGCATTACGTTATTGGGCAGAGGCGACTAAAGTGATTGGACAGTAAGTTCCCTGTTTATTTTTATTTACATGAGATAAATTTTGTAAAAGTAATCTTGAGATTACCATAAAAATCAATTACATTAACGTCATGTGCACTGGATACTTGACTCACAACTGCTGCATCCATTTACCACTCCTTGCAATTGAGGTCTGGTCAGTTAGATAGTAATACTCAGTTTTACAGATAGGGCAACAGTTAAAGAAAAGACACGAAAGTCAAGTGTCATATATATATATATATATATATATATATATATATATATATATATATATGATAAAAATGAATTATACAGGGTATATGTCTCTAATATGCTGCAAAAATCGATCTCAGCTTTTCATGGGAGTGTTTATAAACATACCAAACCAATGTCAATACAAAAATTAACCTAAGTGGCTGCATATCATGTCATTTCGGGAACCACTTACCATTCTAATGTCGTTTTAGATGGACCCGAAATCCTTCAATAGAATTTGCATGAGTTCCACTTAGAAGATTCACTAATTCAGGAAAATGATTGTCTTTATGATGGATATAGCCTAATAATGATAGTTACTAATAACCCTTCCACTCGTCTGTGTGAACGGTCGTGCCTGGAATGACTAGTCGTTGTATTATTGGTATTAAAACACTGGCAGTTCTGTTTCGGATGCTTTCTACTAACCCTTTTCGAATATTTGTATCGTACAGTCCCAGCGCCCAAACATGGTTTGCTCTTCTCCAACCGCGATTCATTTTTCGTCGAATAAGTACTGTTTCGTCGATATGAACGACGCCATCATTTCTTCCAAGTACAGAAGTAATCCCATTGATCTTTTGTGAGACAATATCCCTACATTCCTGATACCACCACTGCACTGCTGACATTTTAGTATTCTCTGTTTCTGCAGCTGTAACAGATACTGATGATCGTCACAGCAGCCAATTGTGGCATATAAGCAAAATTTTACTCAGGTAGAGCCTCGACTTCTAGAAGAAAGTACCTAAATAATCACTATAATGTATAGGCTTCCTCATATAACAGTGATTGCATCTCAATGTGTAATCATCAATACCCCAGTAATACTTTTGGAGAGTCATTACCCCTGCTCATATTCATGTTCTAGTCCACACTGTCAACCCACTTTCTACACAGAAATCAAAAACCAAATCTGGGTGAAACTTGCAAAGAACATCATGAGCAACATCCACTTGTAATACTGAGCTATCTGATTGGTTGGTTTAAGGTCACTTTGTAACGACAGAAGGCAAGACACGGAAGCCAAGGCATATTTTTCAGTGACCAAACATTTATTTATATCGTAGTGCACATTAGCAACAGTTAACCGAAGAAAGGAAGGAGACGAAGAGGGCGTGAGAGATGTGTGTATTTTGACTAAGCAACGAATATATAAATATATTCGTTAACCAATCATTGACCGCGTGATTTTGGCTTACATTAAACGACATGAAACAGAATGTTCAAATACATAGTATCCTCTTGCATAGATGTACTGAAGTGTAAGAATAAGATTCTGACTCTAGCAACAAACAGAATGTTCAAATGGATATATCCTATCCTGTTGCTAATGCCGTCCGTATTGAACTGTGTGAATATGTGAGAATAATATTCCGTCGACATGACATATTGTCTGTATCACAGCATCACAACTTGACTTTGGTGTGTCTATTCTTTACTGTTGCCCAGGATAATATCAGTTACTTAGTAGTGCGATCAAAGTTCATATTACAGCTTATCAACATACTTAGTCAAATAATATTTTGAATACCTTTTCACTGCATAAACATAAAAAACCCATTTGATGAAACACTCATATTCCAGCTGGTTGAGTGAACATTTCAAACCGTAGCAATAGACTAGTGATAATCACAACAGATACACAGGAAGCATGACGGCCTACCACTAATGAAAACCGCCTGATATCTTGTCTATCATGTCGTGGTGGTGTGATACAGACAATGGAATATGATTCTCATATATATTTCCACAGTTCAAGTTGGCAATATCAATACAATACAATACCATACAATATATGTAGTTCAACATTGTATTTGATGTTAGAGACAGAATACTTTTCTCACAGTTATATACTGCTGTATTAACAACAAAATACTAGGTATATTTGAACATTGTATTTCATTTCGCTTGACGCTAACCGAAATCACAGGCTCAGTGATCGGTTAATGAATATAAATAGCATAGATATATAAACAGTGGTATGACTAATGAAATATACTATGGCTTCCGTGTCTTGCCTTTTGTTGTTACAATGTGATTGTTGGTTATCTTAATGTTAACCCCTATCATGTGACGATGACTTTGTATGAATGTTGTATTCTATCCTCTTATGTGTATGTAAATGTTAGTACATTGACTACTTTGATCTTCACACCAATACTAATCGGTACGTTTTTACCCTACCTTAAAAGACAGTGGCTTTTGCATTCTTAATTTTGTATGATTGTATGATTGCCTTTAGATTTCAGAAACAAATAAATTTCGTGTCAAGTCACTTTGTGTTTGAACTGTAGCCAAGCCTAGACTCTGGTGTTGGCAGTTGAGAGCTGAAGTCTGTAGTCAAATTCAATCGTACAAGTAGTACAATTAGTTGTCACGCTTTAAGTGTGTGATCTCTCCATCTAACTAGTACGATTCAAAATTGTTTCAGAAACAAGCCTTTCTTATTTGGATAGGAGGTGTAACACTAAAGCACACCGTATCGACTGCATTCAACCAACGTGTTGCTAGGCTGTTAAAATACATCAAAGTAAATGTGTCCAAATACCACTTCACTAATACTCCTATGTCTTTTGAAGAGTGTCGCTTATAGTCAGCTGCACATAGTCGATATTGTACTTGTTCCTATATCAATGACTTTATGTTTAAACTCTGTTCTGCCTTCAATTCACTAAGATGTACTTTCGAAACTCAGTGGTTTTAGCAGTTTATTACAAATGCTGCTCAAATGGTTCCAACTTAACGGTAACTGCACCAAACGGCTAAAATCCAATCATTGAATTCGACACTAATGGTTATTCATCACTTATTCAGTAGTATAACATGGAGGTAATGCATGCACAACCTCTATAAAATTTGTGAGTCCCGGTAATACTTTATGAGCAAGCATATTCAACGGTATCGTTATTAATACGATTGTTTCGTGCCACTCACTACGTAACTATCGCTTCTTCGTTATATGCTCGAAATAGTTTGGAGAAATTTAAGAAGAGAAACTGTGACCTGTTTCATCACGAACCATTGGACGGTCTATGAGCCCACATTGTAGCCTACATATCCTGGGTTCAAACCCTTGTGGGTAATGAGGTAGCTGGCTGTCCAGTACTCCTGGATAGTTTTCCAATGGTTCTCTAACTGATGTCAACTCATAATGAAAGCTGTAATCAATCGAATCCCTGCAAAGCAACACTTGATAAGTAATCTGACGTCCACCAGCGACTGGCTATTACACAGAAAGTTACCTGAAGTTCTAGTGAGAAGTCGTAACCAGTGGGTTCCACCAACTCAGGTAAAAGAACAGTTACTCGCCTATGATGTTGCTTGGTGGTGGTGGCTCTGTGTATGTCGTGAATTGGTATAGATCAGGACTCATGGGCTATTGGATCGGATCTCAGTAGCTGAATAGTCTTCTAGCTCTCCTTGTAACTTGAGGGTCCTAGGTTTTAGACTATTATTAATCCACGCTCAATAGATATGACTAAAAACCAGACGTTTGTAAAAACAGTTTTATGATTTGGAGAAATTGCATCGTCATTGTTTTCTTTAAAAATCCTGCTGATTGACTTGTTTCAACGTAAACCTTTGCACCGATGTGCAGCAGTTCGAGTCACCACACTCCATGTGGCACACAAAGCAGGAGAAGAAAGTGAAAAAAAATGCAAAATAGAGATATAAGGCAAAAAGAATAGTGATATGGAGGAACCATATAGTTTCACTGGATATTATAAGTCACAAGGAGTGAATGCATCTGTGCCATTGAGAACGATTTTGAGCCATATCACAAATTGTCTCCATCCATTAGTTTTTACCGTCCTGCGGACCCCAACTGGGAAGTCGACACCTTCCTACGTGGCTGGCTTAAACTAACTGTTGTGGATTTCATTGACTGATGAGGCCATATTTTGGTTTGACCACCACTAGCTTTTTCCCAACCTGTTCCCAAGTCAGCTAACATTACCCGTCGAGGATGGAAATAGTTAGCTGGGCATGCGTAACATATATCCTAACCATCTCAGTAGATGTAACTTCACAGTCTCGTCTATTGATTTCCCCTCCTTACCCAGCACTCGACCGATGCCTCATTTCAGTATTGCTCACCCTATTATACCACTTCAAACGGGCGATAGAACGCAGGCACATTTGATCAGAGACAGCTAGCCGGGCTTTTCTCAATAACCATGTCTCGCTCACAACCATAAAGTAGGACAGAGCGAGCCGCTGAGCAGTATACACGTCCCTCGGTCGACAGCCAGTCGGATATCGCGTCTACACCAGAGACCGCGTAAAAATCCTGCAATTTTTTACTTACAGTATTCTCTGCTATTGTCAACACGAAAACTAAACTATTTTATTTCTTCGCCTGTCTCAGTAGTATATTTGCTGTTACTTCTAGACCCTACTAGACATTGTTCTTTTGTATTGGCTTTACGTGATTCTTCTGTGATACCACGGACAATTTTGGTGTTTTCGAAACGATCGCATTATCTTTTAAAAACAGTGCAACTGACTAATTACATATTTATATACAGGTTTATATGCTTGAATATTAGTTAATTCGGTTGCATTGATGCCTTAAAGGTTACTGCGACGTGTAAAGTTGTCACTGACTATGAACTCGCATCACACTGGCTAAAATTTGACTGTTTATAGGTTATGGTAAGACTGTAACTCGATTTTTATCTAAATTAAGAATTGAGTATGTTATATATGCTGTAAACAGTGTTTTCATCACATGTTATTTGTAGATATATGTATATACATGTAAGCCGACTAATTAAACATTTTTTTAAAGCTACAATCATACATCTGAAGATTGGGAAATTTATCGCGAACTTTTGGAGGTTGCTACACATTCAATGCCACAGATGTTCCGATTAGCCAGTGAAAATTCACGTTATTGTTCTGAAGGTCTAGTAGACACGGATCCTGATGGATGTTTGTATCAACGAGACAATATTTTAGGTAAGCTAAGCGGATTTGTATGTGCTTTGCTTGCTGTTTTATTATTATTATTATTATTATTATTATTATTATTATTCGTGTTATTCCATCAGAATCACTTTCAACTGCTTCCATGACTTGCTACAAGCTTCAGTTTCCCTCCCCAGTCACATAGTCCTCCATGTCGCCCTCACACCTATGTTCTCAACTCTTCGGTTCCCACTCAAGGTGCTAGTCTGGTGTGCGATTTCACTTGAACTTCTCCTCACCCTGTGTTCAACCCATCTCCATTAGCTTCTTTGTATTTGATTGGGCAGTGGGTAGTAGTTGGTTGGTTGGTTCGTTCGTTCGCAGAGTTACTTTCCAGAAGGCCGTTTGATCTTCAAGTATCGATTCAGCGAGTGCAGCATCTGTTGATAAAAGCCTGCTGTAGGCTAATGAAAATGCTTTCAGTGACACACTCACCAAATTTCTAAGTCATATAGAAGCACTCACTTGACATTAGTGTTAAAAATCCTGATCTGTGCTGAATGGTACGTAGAATTTCACACTGATTTCAGAGTAAGGAACTGTTGCCTTGCTTTCTCAACTTGTTATTGCTCAGGCAAATGAAACAGACAACTCAAGCCCTGTGTCTTCGCTGCCTCTTCTACTAACTTGTTGTTTTCCGATTACCATTTTTTCGAGAATGATAAATTGAAAAGCGAAATAATTGAGCAAAGAATTACCTTTTCAATAATTTCCTCTTCTGGTCCTACAATTATATGTATGCTTATATACCTAGAATATTCTAGAGTAGTAGTCAATACCAATATTAGTGTTTTTTAAATAATATCGATTTGTTAAGTAAGATCACAATGGAATTACAATTCATTAAAAAAGATGCATAAATTATAATAATAATAGTAATGATAATAATAATAAATGTAATGGCAAACGGACTAATAAATTAGTAGGTTAGTTAGTGCTTTAATTCGTATCTTGTTAAAATACATCCTCTTTTTGAAATTGAACCAATTGTTTATTTCAGTGGCAAAGTTAGACTATCATGATCCATGGAATGTGGATGCACGAGTGACGTTGAGCTGACCAATCAGAAACACCATTGGTTTACACAAAATGACGTTTATTCATAAGAGAGAGAGAGAGAGATACATGAAAACACATTGAACAGGGTATTTTTCTCTGACGTGACTTAAAAATGTCCCAATTATTCTGAGGAGGGAGTGTCAGTCTTTAAGTTGAACCAGTTTCTATGCATGTATTCATTAAGATGACTGAAAGAAAATAAGTTTCTTTTGCGACCTCCAAAGCCTCAGGATGGTCGGGGGTGGGTGCCTTGTGCTGCGGGTTGGCCACCCCTCCGCACACCTCTTGAAATGCTCCCATATGACCGGGCGTCTTACATAGCCTCTCCTGAGGAAGTCCTACTCACTGCCTTCACGTGGCGGAGGTGTTTTTCACCAAAGTGAGAGGGCGAAAGCGGATGCCCGGCGCTCTTCACCGGGTTAACTGTCCATTGGATGACAGTCTACGGGAGATGGCTAACCTGATTCCAACCTCCAACGACTGGCGTATGAATCTCACTGGAGCTCACCGGCAGCCGTATGGACAAAGGGCTTGTTGGATGTCCTGGATGTCTGGCCCCATTCAAAAAGGCGTATGAACCGAACTCCGGTCACCGGCTGCCAATGGATAGTGGACTCCCTACTCCACTCCTACTGCCTTGTAGGTCACACTTGGTTGTGTAAAGGCTAGAGCTGCACTCTCAAACAAAAGGCCGAGCGATTCTGGGGACATCACTCGTACCAAATTCCCATGAACTTCATGAACGTTCAATGATCCGATGATTCGAGATGTTCATGAAGCCGGCTCATCCTTCCGTAGGAGATACCGAATAAGTAGACCCATTGATTACCCTTATCCTGTTTTTCAATCTACCTTAGACTCCCTCAGTTGAATTGGTATGAGTTCCAGTTATGGAGTCGGCGAGTTCATGAGAATAGTTCACTCGATGATGGATAAATCCCAAATTTGATAGGCGGTTGCATACTGTCCACTTGTCAGGATGAATAGTAGTGCCAGGAATGACTAACCTTTGTATAATTGCTAGAAAGGTGTCGGTGGCACGATTTGGAATCACCTGAAGCTTCGTGTCGTAATTCCCCAACACCCAAACGTTGTTTTCCCTAGGTTGACAACGGTTATATTTCTTTATAAGAACTGTTTCATCGATATGAACAATAAAATGAACTCCTAGCAGCTGCGTGACTGTATTCCCCTACCACGATGCTATATTTCTGCAATAGTGGAACAAATGCACGGTAGATACTAAGGAATTTTCCATCCCTACAGTCGTTGATCTCACCTCAGCCTTTAATATCGAATAATGGCAGATAAAGAGCATCTTTGTCATTGGCATTTTCGATTGAGAAAATAAAGTTCCCATAGAACAATGAACTGAGTGTGTAATCTACCATTACGAATACTCATTCTCTTCCTGCACTGTATACAGCTGAATACGTGTCGATCACTTGTTTCTGAACACCTCTGAATATATACATGGAAGCACCACAGGAGCATTATTTGCAGCCTACTACTAAACAGTGCTTAAAAACGTGATCAGAGTGAAATTTTCTCCCATAATTCATGAATAGCGTTCATACTGGCACTGTAATTAATGGTAGGTCTCGTTATCCAACGAATGGTGTGCTTTCAGTGGTCATTGGTGCGTTCACCCTTCCAGATCAGGATACTTTAATTTTACTTAGTTTCTTTTAAAAATAAGATTTGATCACATTGCTAATTCACTCAACTTTTCCCATTCCCAAGAGTGGTTTCCTCTAAAAAAAGATAATTCAATGTATGATCTTATTAACAATAACGAGTTTATAACTGTAGTGGACAGCTTTCAGAAGTTATTAAAAACACCTGGCCGCTCTCATTATACTTTTATTCTCAATTAAATTATGCGGACATTCAATTTACTAAAAACGGTGAAGAAGAAATCGGGAAAAAGAAGTGAATACTACAACTAATAATACTAATAATAAAGGCGATTAAATTTTTATTTTTACGAGTTTGACCACGGATTGATATCAGTTAGAGAAGCATTGAAAACCTGCACTGGAGTACTGGACAGCTGTTTCATCCTAGTTTGGAAATCATTGGCAGAATGCACCCTGGTTTCCAATGGTTCTTTAACTGATATCAATCCGTGGTCAAACTCGTAAAAAACAAATTTAATCCCGACAAACCAACTCTTGAAAATTAAATTTCTAATTAGTTTAGGCGCAGACATTACTGCTATGATAAATGTATTCAAGGCATAATTTATATCACACTTATTCATGAATTTAAGCCAGATCTTTGTGTGGACAAAGAAGTACATACAACCTCCCCCCCCCCCCACTAAACACACTAATGCTTGCATTAAAATAGAAAGAAGAGGGTTAAAAAAACAACTTTTATAGCTTTATTTCTACATCTTATTACTTCCACTCTGAACAATTTCCGTTGCACCATCTCTCCTTGTCACTCTTTATTCATCTTTTAATTCAATGTGACCCTTTTCAATCTTATCTTATCACACCTCTCACCTTGTTATGTAATGCTTTGTTTGTATACTAATCGTACCACTTCTGCACCCGCCACTCTAAGACATTTATTCATTTCAGGAATTTTTTACCTACAGTGTAACCAGTCTTGTTATTGCTTCATGTTTGTTTAACTGTGATTAAAGTGACAAATATTTTTTCACACCTATCAGTGAAACTTCTTTACGGGGTATAGTTTTTCTGTTGTTGTTGTGGGGGAAATCTCATATAAACATACATACGATTGTACAGCTTACTTATGAATTCATTGAAAAGCCTCTCTTCGCTGAATATTGTGTCGCTAGTAAAAATGATTGTTCACAGCTTGTTTTCTGATGACTTCGAATAACTTCTCTATTTATCGGAATTTAACCTCAGTAATTCTGTCTAATATGATTAGTTTCCATTGGCGTAATGTTCTTCTGTTTGTTTTTGAAGTTTATTCTTTTGCTTTGCAAGCTCTGAATTCTCAGTAGCGGTGGTGTTTTCTTAATGGCTAGGGTTGTTAACCTCATGCCTTCAACCTCCCCTTTTTTGTCGGGCTTATAACCAGCGAAGGGGGAGGTAAAGGTATGTGCCTGACTGGAGTCGAACCTCGGACCATATGAGGGGTGGTTAGCGAGTATTTTACCGTCGAACCACCGACGTACATTGATGCAGTGTATATATACTGTGAAGATAAACAGGATTATTCATTTACAAAATTTTATTTTATATATATATATTTCCACTCTTCTCTTTCTCTCTAGATGATCCACACTGTCTTTCTTACCTGTTATCATTCTATGATCATTTATGTCTATGGGAAGAAGGTTCACCTGTTCCAGTTTTACATGTCGGTTGGGTTGATAAATTGATGGTGAATTTGACACGATTTACTCAACGTGCTAGACGTCATCTATGCCTGTCTGTAGCATCTGATAAAGAGGATAACAAAAGTGATACTGTACACTCACCATCGTTAACACATTCAACTTGTCGATCAAGTCGTTGGGCAACAGAATCAACAGATACAACAAGTGAAACAGGAATTACTAGTAGTGTAAAGCGTACAACTCGTCGAAATCGATCCTATCAAATAGAATCTACGCCTAATTCATCTACTGTTGTCAGTGTTAAAGATGAACAATTAAAATCCAATAATAATGTAAATAACAACATTGAATCGGTCAATGAAAATGTGAAGCACAAATCATCAGGTGAAATAGAATTCTAATTTAAAAAAATTTTTTTATTATTCATATTGTGATGATGTTTGCTTAATGTTTCTGTTATTTCTCTTTGACAACAACCTTTTAACGTGACTAACTGACTGACTGGTTTCAAGACTTAACTTTGCACAGATGTGCAGCACTTCGAGTTATTACACTTTTTGTAGCACACAAAGCAAGAGAAGAGAGTGAAGGGCAGTTCAAATGACGCTTAATGAGCAGAATTGTGAAGGGAAAAGAATAGTAATATGGAAAAGTAGTAGTTTTATTGGATACGACAAATCACAAAGAGTGAACGCACCTGCACAATTGACAACTTTCTATAGTTTGGTTTGTAAGGATTAGTTATGTTTTACGAGTTGATCACGGACTGATATCAGTTAGAGAGCCATTGAAAACCAGGGAGTACTGGACAGCTGCTGTTTCATCCTAGTTTGGGGATCATCGGCGGTACACACCCACTGGGATTCGAACCCAGGACCTTCCGGTTACAAGGCAAGCTCGTATACCATTCAGCCACTGGGACCCGATTCAATGGCTCATGAATTCTAACTTCTACCAATTCGTGATTTTAGCGCGACCCCAACTATTGTCGTTGGTGGGACATCCATCCACACACGTGAATTCTAATTGGACCTCACTGGTCACGACTTCTCACTAGAACTCCAGGAAGCGCCAACCTGTAGCAAGTCACCAGCGAGCATCAGAATAATTTTCTATAGTTTGGTTTGTAAGGATTAGTTATGTTTTACGAGTTGATCACGGACTGATATCAGAGCCATTGAATCGGGTCCCAGTGGCTGAATGGTATACAATTGACAACGTCGATTTTGAGCTATATCGCCAATGGTCTCCAGCCGTTATTGGCTATTACCATCCCTAGGACCCCAGTCAGACAGCAGTCTACACCGTCCTATATGAATGGCTTAGACTAACTGGTATGGATTTCATTAGGCATGCCTAACACAGCCTAACCATCTCAGTCGATGTAACTTCACAGTCTCGTCTACTGATTTCCCCTTCTTACCTAGCACTCGACCGATGCCTCACCTCAATATTGCCCACCCTATTATATCACTTAACAACGAGAGGTAGAATTCAGACACGTATGATCAAAGACAGCTAGTCGGGCTTTTCATGTCTTTCACTTTCAATGGCCATGTCTCACTCACAACTATAAAGTAGGACAGAGCGCGCTGCTGAGCACTATACACGCCCTTTGGTCGACAGCTGGGTATCACGTCTGCTAAGTCAGAGATGGAGTAATCTGGCATATGCCAAACGGGCCTTCTGTATCAGTGCTGAGATTTCGTTAGTTATCAACCTGTTGGTTGGGGCTGATGCAACTTCCCAAATAAGTGAAGTGGTCAACAAGCCTAGTCAACACTTCTTTCCCTATATTTAAGCTAGGAGTCGTTGTAGTCCAGTCCTGTAGCTTCATCGCACATTTGACAGGAGCGAACCGCATGCCAAACATTCGAAGATTGCTGCTCAAGGTGTTCAGAAGACTGTGCAGTTTGTCAGCGTCGTCACCTAGAGGGACTGTCTCATCCGCATATTCTAAGTCAACGAGAAACTATTCCCTGGTGATAACAAATCAATGCTTGAGTCACTAAAGTCATTTAGGGTTAGGTCAATCGTTATATACATGATGAAATTAAATGTGACGAAATTAACATACTTCCACATATATATATATATATATATATATATATATATATATATATATATATTTGAAAATACGTCTTGAAATGTATACTAATTATGGCTCCATGTGTATGAATTGACTGATAACTAGGCATAGACATGGTCAGGGACTTTCCTCTTATTGAATATAGATTTTTTTGTCTTATTTATTTACATTCGGAGTGGAACATAAGGCTTCAAGCTATGAAGTGTCGGTAGCGGTAGTGTTTCTTCCTCACGCCGTGGATTTGCTAAGCACACGTCTAACCTCCCCTCTTGACCGGGCCTACTACTACCGGTTAAGCGAGGTTTAGTGGTGCGTCGGCAGAGGATTGAACCCTGGACCACGGCGAGCATCATTCTACTGTCGAACCACTGATATACACCTCGTATTACAGTTCACTAATAAATTGTTATTCGTTTAGGTGTAAGGGTGAATACAACTTTACAGTGTCTGAAGATGACCCTGTCAATAAAGAAAATTTTCTTCACTGAATTGTCTTACATAAATTCACTACCATACTGAGATGTTAGTCAGTTGTAATCTGAACAGAAGGAAGGAATCAACTAAACTTATCGAATGTTCTTTTTTAGTCTCATAACTAGGAGTCAATGATCTTGATGTATATATTTGCATAAGTGTATGCAAACTTATTTACTGGTTCTATGCAAATCAGTATGATGCTCAGCGGTTAGTAATAAATGTAATAGGAAGAACGCAACTCAGTAATTTTTCCGAGGCTTTTGTAATTAGACAGCAAATCGTAATTAGCTTTTAAAAATTAATAATACTGTCCAAACATTGTGTAGAGTTTAGACCGTGTAACTCCATCATCCATTATTTGAAGTCGTCCACTAAGTGGCACTATAGCTACCACCGAGAATTGTACATTATATTTTATGCTATTCGTTTGTACTGTATAAAAGAGTTGTAACGAAGGGGACACACCTTTGTACCTGGCGCATAGCAAAGGGCGTGTTTTTTATTACCTGCTCCCCCTCTTCCTCTCTCTCTCTCTCCCATCAAAAACCGGTCGACCTAACACTCCAGTGGGTTCATATATGCCTAGTTTCGAACTGTCCTAAATTAGGGCAAAACAGCTGTCCAGTACTTCTTGGATTTCAGTGTTTCTTTGACCTATGTCGGCATGTGATTTCAATCAGATCTCTACAAATCAACATTTGGAAATAAAAGTTTACTTCAAACTATTTAACACTTAGTTTATTCGGAGTTCGGTGGAGGGTTGGAATTCGAAGCCCCTTCAAAACTTTATTCACGCTTATCAAAGTGTTTAGACTAAGAAGTGACTATCGACTTATTCAACTAACTGAAAATAAGTAGAGTTTTGCTAAAATTCTTAACCTAATAATTCATTTTGTTTATTTTTAATTTTTTTTTATAAAAGATACTATAACCCAAACTGTCAAAGGATCTAAATCTCGTTCAATGCGATCCAGTAAAATCTGCAATAATATCACTATTGAAATTCCCGAAGAAAGATGTAATACAAATACTACAACACGTTCTAACGGTGAATTGTATTCACCGCATGCAAAATCTACTCTTTCATCAACTAATACAAACTCTACGTTTGACGATATACATTTTGAAGCAGATCAGGCATTGGATACTGAAGAACAAGATGGATCACCTTCACCTTTAGTAGATTTTCCTAATAATGGTGATCTATTAGCAAGTTTAGTTGAAGCATGTGACCATCGTCTGTTGAATCCAGCCTTTCTATGGGGTGTAGAACCACATTCTCCCTTCCTACCAGCTAATATTGCTCCTGAAGAAGCCTTAAATCGTTTGATGACTGTTCTTCAAGAAAATAAACCTGCCTCTGTATTGCACAATTCAAGCACTGAGGCGGTTACTGCAGCAACACCTACGAGGACTATGGTTCACAATATCTTTCCAACACCGCCGAATTCAGGCAGTTTCACAGAATTAATGGGAACTGCAGTCAGTGAAGAAGCAAACAGTATTGACGCTATAACTGTTGTTCCATTATCACCGGCAAAATTATCACAGACTACACAACTATCTTCGAACAATGAAAAGTCAACTGATCCTCATTTTCCTCTTTCTATTACAAAAAATGAATCAGACAGTTGTATATTGAAAACAACAGAAGAGACATTATTCCCCGATAGTTTCGATACTGTTGATGGTATTACTGCTGCTGCAGGCGATTTCGATCTGCTAGCTGATATACCTAATGAATTAATGGATTCTGTTGCAAGTTTAGTTGTTGAGAATCAAACTGTCTCACCGACTTCTAATAATCCTGTAGACTTTTTCGATTTAATTTTAGAATCTGAAAATAACCTGCATAAAACTATCTGTAATCATCATCAAGGTGAAAACGAAGATATATTGAATGATAATAATAATAATAATAATAATAATAATAATATCAGCAATAGTAGTAATGTCAATAATAATAATAATAATAGCAGTAGTCAATCCCCCTTTCGTCCGTCTAGAAATCATATCAGTAAAACAATGGAAGAGTTAAGCGTTCCTTTATCCTTGTATTCAGTTAAAATGGCATCAATCATTGAATTGTTACAAGCGCCACGATTGAATTCCTCCGCGATTAAGCTAGCATTAACAGCCCAGAGTCAAGTATGCGTCCGTCGATCCACTATTCATTCTACATACTTTTAATTATTCTCGATTTGTATACAAACATACACTTAATTGTAAACCAACATTTTTGTTTATAACCTTTCCAGAATTATTTTTGTTTTTGCTTACACGCACAATCAGGTGCGTGTATTTTTCCTTTTCCACAGTTTATCATCCAAGTTTACCGTTTAAATTTTCTGTCAATTTTGTGGTGTATCATGCATCTGTTGTTTTTTTTTTATAGTTTTTGTACAACCCTTCTTTTCCCCATGTGTGTTTATTATTTGTGTATCTGTCAATCTATATGGACGCGCGCATCTTCGCGTCCGTTACGCATTTTCACTATCCACGTAGATAACTGAATCGGATGAAGAAGAAGAAGAAGACAGTGGAACTTCTGTTGTTTGTTGTTTTGTTTCTTTCTGTTACTGTAAAACTTCTCCGTTGTTCAACCTCTCTGTCATATGTACGCATTGCCTGCCTTTACCCTGTTATTATTACTATTATTATTTTTCCTTTTCCCACTAGAGACAGAGTAACAGATACGCAGAGTTCAATTGGCCATCATAGATAATTAAAAAGTATATATGCGTTAATAAAACTGCTAAATTTTTATTATTATTATTATCATTATTATTCCTATTATTTTCTATTTCCCTGTTTAAGTTGTTTTTACTCAATTTTGATAAATTCCAACCAGAGATTTATTTATTTACTTATTATTGTTATTATTTTTGTCTCCTTGTTTTATGTACACATACATAATATATTCACATTGCCTTTTGATACTTGTCTGTTTATTTTCCGTTGTTTTTTTAAAACTTCCCCCCCCCCCCCTTCGAATCATTGTTACCATTGAATTGATCAAGTTGTTAATTGTTTATTCGAATCACTCAATCAACATGCCCATATTTTTGTTCATGATCTCTGTCTATCTCTCCCTCTCTCCGTCTCTTTCTTTCATAAATCTCGTATTTTTCTTCCTGAAATTGATCCTAAATGTGTTGACTATTTTATTATTAATATTAACAATAATAATAATAAGTGTACATTTTTTGTTTATTCATATTACATGTTCTACATATTTTATTATGGATCCCGTTATTTTTGTGTTGTATTTTATTCCTCGCCTCCCCCCCACACCACCCTCCGGCGTTTATGTCTATACTGTACATGTTTATTTGTTTGTTTTTTACGTATGTACGTGTTTGCATTCAAAACATGCATACATACACATACACACAAAGAGATTTCTGTATTTTGTATTATGTTATTTTTTGTGTTTGTTGTATACCTGTGTGTGTGTGTGTGCAAAGTTTATCTGTTAGTTTATCAATCATTTTAATATATGCACCCACCATCCCACTACTCCGGTCAAATGTGTATATTTTTTTACGCATGTTTTATTTGTGCTGTTCTATTTTGTTGCGTTGTGTTGCGTTGCGTTTTCTGTTTCAAATAAGAGAAAATCCTTATCGTCTTCTATAGATTACATTTGATTATTTGTTTACACTATTTATGTATTTATTTATTTATTTATTCATTCACAACAATTTATGATGATGATGTGTGTATTTTACCCCCTAGATCAATGATGAAGAAACAAACCCCGGTGAATTCTAATATTACTACAACAACTACAATTATTATTATTATTGCTATTCTCATTTCTTGTTGTGTGTATGCAAGTCGTCCTCTGTCTCTTCATTTGTGTTTGTTTTCGTGTCGTTGTTTCTTCTTCTTTTTATTATTATGATTAAAAATGAAAGTGTTTTCTTCGATTTAATATTCCTATGAATCAACAAGACAAGGAATGACTGACTATTCTACGATTGTGTAATTCTATATGCTTGACTAGTTAGTTGTATGGCGTGTAATTGAAACTACTCATATATGCCTGTTTGTGTGTGTGTGTGTGTATCTGTAAGCGAGCGTAATTGGCGAATCAAATTAAATAGTTGACTACTACTTCATGTTTCTAGTGCAATCAAAATTTTAAAAATTCTCTTCATTGAACCTCTGACTGTTTATAAATATCTCTGTTGTCTGTGTACACGTGTTTCTGTTTGCGTCTCCTTCAATGTACATAGAGATAGACAAATAAAAATTCAAACCTATCATCGAATGCTTTTTTACAGGTTTGATCACGAGTTGGCATCAGTTAAAAAAAAACCCTGGGATTACTGGTCCGTCAACTGTTTCATCCTAGTTTGGGGGAGTCTTCATCAGTGCTCATCCATCACAGGGGTTCGAACCAAGGGTCTGTGGGTGGTTACAAGGCGAGCTCGTAGACCATTCAGCCATTAGGACCCGATCCAACGGTCAACCCATGAATTCCAACTTGCACCGATTTGCGATGTGTGTAAAATATAGGCGAGTAACCTGACTTGGTGGTTATGACTTTTGTTGTTGTTGTTGTTGATTTATGGAAATCAGTCTATACTTCTAAATTGTTATATAGGCGGATGCTGCTAAGCGTAATGTGAAGCCTTGATTCTATCTTAACTGGCGTTTGACTCCAATCGCCTCAGCTCGTCTGTGTATATCTCCCTGGGGGTTATGAGTGTTCTAGATCATTTATCCCATGAACGGAAAGACAGTTGGTACTCTCTCTCTCTCTGTTGTGAAAATCGTTTAAGGCGACTGTTATTCATGTTACAAATGTGTGTGCCCCTTTTTTTTTAATTCGACTCACTTTTACTTGATAGGCGTTGAAAAACTCACTGCAGAAAAGGAAATTAATACAGTTATTCTATAACAAATAAGTATGTATATTGTGTAAGGAGCTTATTTTGAAGAAAATGATCAGTATTCGTCAATACTTCTGCCTCATTATGAACAACTTTTAATAATGTTGCAAAGAATTCTCTGTCCATCCCCATGATCACATCTCAGACGACCTGAACATGCGCATGTGGCTTACACTAACAGTATCTAATTCGAACTTTCTTAAACTAACTATTCTTCCCCGGATAATGCTCATCTAGAGAGACGTCAACTTAGTAACAGTAACACATAGCTATGTCTAATATGGACTTTATTTACGATGATCTACGGGAAGTGGTCAGTTTGAACAGGACATCTAGAGTCTATAACGTTTTCACATATTTCACCCCATGGACACCAGAGATGACGAGTGTTGAGATGTTATGACTCAAACCTTCTGTATCAATGCTGTGAATACAATTGCTATGAAATAATTATTATGTATTATCCCCTCGATTCCGACTAAAACAGAAGGCCTCCACAGCACATCTCCACTTCATCCTGTTCTCAACAGTCGCCTTAGGCTGATTGTACAATTGCCCATAGCCTCTCATTTCTCCTTCCTCAGATAATCTATCCCATGTCACCTTGGGACGCCCTATTCGTCGTTCCCAGTCTGGGTTCCACTCGGGCAATGGCCTGGTGCGCGGTGTCTCTCAACGATCTTCTCACGTGTGTCTGATCCATTTCCAGTTTTTTTTCGTCAAATACTTTGGCCGATTGGTTTTTGGTTGGTTCATTGTCTGCCAGAGCTCCTTATTGCTGATCCTTTCTAACCGGTCATCTGATCTTCAGTATAGAGCGAAACTACACGATCATTACGCGGCAAATATCCATGTCCCTTATTTGTACACTCAGAAGACTACATATCCCTATCAGTATAGACGTATATATGGTCTAGGTAATGTTGATTGATGAGACGTTTCCTTGATATCAAGTCAATGTTTGCAGCAATTTTATTCAACCTGACTCAGTATAATCAATATTTCACCGCACAACCCCTCCCCCCCATCAGAGTCTTTCTAAACTCATCTGCGAATTCAGAACGAGGGACTATCAGTTCTTCAATTCATTTCGGAACTCCCTATTGAACAAAAGGTTCTCTCAATCTTTCATTCTTTAAATTCCTTCTTACTCATTGCATTCTTTTCTTAGTAAACAATTCACACGTTTCCCTTTTCATCACCATTGATGTGGGGGTAGTCATGCAGGAATCATTTTCACGTTTTCAACTTTCGAACCTTTATTACTTCCTTGGTTTTGTCCTTCTATTTACTTATTTATTTCATTTTTCTGCTTTTTCAAACCACTTCTGAGTCACTGTATGAATGAATAATATCACTTCCCGTAACTGTTATTCAGTAACAGACTTGTAATTCTACTGAATATAAATCCGAATGTTTCGCTTCGTGGAATTGTCTTTCACCGCCTTTATCAGTCAGTCAGTCAGCAGTATTCTGGATGAGACGAGGTAGATGATAAAAGAGAAAATACGAAAAGATTAGGAATTTCTTTTACAATAATTGTCTCTATTGTAAGATACAGTCACATGGTCAGTAATAGTTAATTAAGACGCACAGTATAGATCAACAGCTTGAAACGGCTGGAATATGGGTTATGCTAGCCAGGTTGTCGCATTCCCCAACCAACAATGTCAGTCGAAGTAGGATTTAGTAGTAGTGATTCATTGTGAGAAGAAAACACGACGCCAGAACATGAAGATTTTAATTGTGCCTTCCAGCCAGGCAGGACGGTGTAGACTGCCCTCGGGATGCCACAAATATGTGTTTTGAAGACTGTCTGTGACGTGGCCTAAAAATTGTTTTATTATCAACCAGATTCTGACAATGAATAATAATAATGAATAATAAATTGAGAAATGAAAAGATACCTCAAGTACGAATGCTCTTGACATCAGATGAATAAGGGAGGAAACACTTACATACGTTTATAATCAATAGTGCTAGACAGACTACTTTATTGATTAAAAATGAAATTAACTATTGTTATGTGATATGAAGAGAGGGAGAGAGAAGACAGTATACTGATTAATTTTGAATGATAAAGTGTTGAGTTTAAATGCCCGCTTTTTTGTCGGAATTCAATTGGATTGTGAAGTACCAATTAATTTGTTTAAAGTAAAGGTTAT